TTGTGGCAGCACCAAAAAATATAAATAAAAGAACTGTCAACAAGGCACAAAGGAGACAACAATAGCCGCAGTTCCCGCCAGTAGTAGTTTGGAAAAAGAAAAAGCAGCACGTGAATAAGACGTAAAAACATAAATCTTAACTTTAAGAATATTTTATAATAACTAAGTATAAGAAATAAATAAACTTATCCATTACCAATACGGAGTGTTAAATTAACTTATCCATTACCAATACGGAGTGTTAAATTCGAAATAAACCCCAACATAAAAAACCACTACATTGGTGACCAAGCCGACGTCGAATATATAAAAAAAAAATGGCTACTCAAGAGCAAAAGACAACCGAAGACACTAACCCAATCAATGAAAACGCAACAATCACTGCAATAAAGCTGCCGATGCCAACATTAATAAAAAACAACATTGACCTTTGGTTTATTCAGTTGGACTACTGGTTCCAAGTCAACAACATAAAGGGCGATACTCAAAAGTTTGGCACAGTTATCGCAGCATTGGATGGATCGCTGTTAGAACAAATTTATAACACAATACAGAATCCACCAGCAGCTCAGAAGTACGAAGCTATCAAGCAAGCAATAATAAAAAACTTTGCGGATAGTGAACAAAAACGCATACAAAAATTAGTTAGTGGTTTACAGCTTGGGGATAAAAAGCCATCCCATCTTTTAAGCGAATTGCAACGTATTAGTGGAAGCAAACAAGACGAACAATTACTGAAAGGGTTATGGTTACAACGTCTTCCTGTAGAAGTACAGACATGTCTAGCCACAATTCAAGTGGAACTACCTAAGATGGCGGAATTGGCAGACAACATAACCGAAACAATCCGTATAAACTCAACAATGCAAGGAACTTACGTCAATGCAGCTAACGTCCCTGCAGCAGCTCATATTCAACGTGATGCACAAATCGAACAACTTCAACGAGAAGTGACCAGACTGACGAAAATGGTCTCGAAATTATCAACCGAACACCGCTCAAGAACAAATCAACGTTCACGTTCAACATCCAGAAACCGGCAATGTCATGATGATAGTGAAGAAAAGACCAGTACAAATTGTTGGTATCATAGAACATATGGGTCAAATGCAAAAAATTGCAAGCAGCCATGCACATATGGCACAAAAAACTAAAACCGACTTCGTCTACGGCGGCAGAGGAAGTTGTAAACGAAACATCTACAAGACTGTTCGTCTATGACAATAAGACAAAAAAATCATTCCTAATAGACACGGGTGCAGATGTTTCACTTATTGCCGCCAAACAAAAAAATTCAAATACAAACAATAAGAACGAAAGAATACTCTACGCAGCAAATGGTTCTATGATCAAAACATTTGGAGAAATAGAGATAACTCTAGCTCTTGGCTTACGAAGAAATTTCACATGGCCATTTATTATCGCAGATGTAAACACTTCAATCATCGGTGCAGATTTTTTAAATCATTTCGGATTAATAGTAGACATAAAAATGAAACGATTGATCGACACATCAACAAAGATTTTCTCAGCCGCAAGCGAACGTAAGGTAAATGCGCAAAAAATATCAACTGTGAACACATCTTGCAAAATTGCAGATCTACTAAAAGAATACATCGACATCACTAAACCAACACCGACAAATCGCCAGGTGACCAAAGTCACTCACCACATATTAACAAAAGGTCCACCAATATGTGAGAGACCACGTAGGTTACCTCCAGACAAGCTAGCAGCAGCAAAAGAAGAATTCCAAAACTTAGTCACAGCCGGAATATGCCGTCCATCAAGCAGCAATTGGGCTAGCCCCTTACATATGGTAAAAAAACCAGACGGTAGTTGGAGACCTTGCGGAGATTACCGTCGCTTAAATGCAATCACCATCCCAGATCGTTACCCAGTTCCTCACATACATGATTTTGCACACATGCTATATAACCAAAAAGTTTTTTCAACCATCGACCTGATTAAGGCATATCACCAGATACCAGTTGAACCGGGGGATATTCCAAAAACGGCGATCATAACTCCATTTGGATTATTTGAATTTACTAACATGACATTCGGACTTTGCAATGCAGGTCAAACATTTCAACGCTTCATTCACGAAGTATTACGAGATCTCGAATTTGCCTTTGCCTATATTGACGACGTCATTATTGCATCAGCAAACGAGGAAGAGCACAGGCAACACTTGCAACAAGTATTCGAACGATTCAGAAAACATGGTTTAATAATAAACGTATCAAAATGCGTTTTTGCTCAAAACACAGTAAAATTTCTTGGTTATCTCATCAGTGAAAAGGGCATTCAACCTCTACCAGATCGAGTGAAGAGCATCAGCGAGTACCCGCTTCCAACAAAAACAAAAGAATTAAGAAGATTTCTAGCATTACTTAACTTTTATCGCAGGTTCGTACCAAACGCTGTAGATTCTCAAACTGCACTTCAACAAATGATAAAAGGAAACAAGAAGAACGACAACACACCGTTATGCTGGACCGAAGTGAACAAAACAATCTTCCAAAAATGTAAAGATGAACTAACAAACTCGACACTACTTGTTCATCCGTCAAAAACTGCTACGCTTGCATTACAAGTAGACGCCTCGGATAAAGCTCTCGGCGCAGTTCTTCATCAAGTGACAGACAGCACGTTCCAACCACTCGGTTTTTTCTCTAAACGATTAACAGATACACAAAAACGATACAGCACATACGATCGTGAGTTGTTAGCCGCATATCAGGGCATAAAACATTTTCGACATATGTTAGAAGGTCGTGAATTCGTATTAATAACTGACCACAAGCCACTCACGTTCGCATTCCAGCAAAAGTCCGACAAGGCTTCACCACGTCAAGTCCGTCAGCTTGATTATATAGGTCAATTTACAACGAATATCGTTCATGTCAGCGGAAAAGACAACATCCCAGCAGATTTTCTCTCGCGGATAGATAGTATTAGCATCCCAAAAATCGACTACGATTGTATAATTGGATTACAACGATGTTGCCCACAACTACAAGATATCAAAAACAACAATTCCATCGAAATCAAACTTTTATCTTTACCAACAATATCAGATAAAATTTATTGCGAAGTTTCAACTGGGCGAATTCGTCCTTACATTCCGCAGAAATACCGGCTACATATCTTTAAAGCTACGCATGGGTTGTCTCATCCCAGCATTCGGGGCACAACAAAAATGATAGCTGAAAAATTTTTCTGGCCTTCTATAAATGCTGATATCAGAAACTGGACCCGACAATGTATCCCATGCCAACGTTCTAAAGTGCAACGTCACAACCGTTCACCTATTTGTCAATATGAACTCGCTGAACACAGATTCGAACATATAAACATAGATATCGTCGGCCCGCTACCACCATCAAACAACTGCACATATATATTAACCATCATCGACCGTTTCAGCCGATGGCCAGAAGCAATTCCGATCCCAGATCAAACAGCGGAAACCATCGCAAACGCACTGATACCTAACCTGACAAAATCAGGACGCAACGTTCGCTTTCCAACCAAATTCAGTGACTCCATCACTTAGGGGGGAGTACTGTGGCAGCACCAAAAAATATAAATAAAAGAACTGTCAACAAGGCACAAAGGAGACAACAATAGCCGCAGTTCCCGCCAGTAGTAGTTTGGAAAAAGACAAAGCAGCACGTGAATAAGACGTAAAAACATAAATCTTAACTTTAAGAATATTTTATAATAACTAAGTATAATGAATGAATAAACTTATCCATTCAATACGGAGTGTAAATTAACTTATCCATACCAATACGAGTGTTAAATTCGAAATAAACCCCAACATTAAAACCACTACAACTATTGCGCGACAGTGGTGTTCTCACCATTTAACACTTTATTTGTGTTACGCTTTCAGTTTATATTTTAAGGTTCAGTTAGATGGTAGGTAACGTAAAAAACTAATTCAAAGCGAAAACCAACCAAACCTGCGTATTTATTAGGAACGAAATAAACAAAAACGGTCAACTTTATTTATTTCATTCCTATCAAATACGCAGGTTTTTTTGCTTGTGCATTTCGCTTTGAATTAATTTCTTACGTTACCTACCGTCTAACTGAACCTTTACTTGAGTTTTACTATGAGTAGCTCGTAGAACAGACCTATTAATTGTCAAGAGCTTATGTCAATTTGCATTATTTTCACATAAGAATTTTGCTCACTCTCTCACTTCTTCACATGCAAATTTTTTCGTTAAATGTATTTTGAACATAAATATGGTGCTAAACTGTTAGGTCAGGTTAGATGCCGAGTTAGCGAAATTTAATTTCTTGGAATTTGATTTTCACTACAATTAATTACTATATATTTCCAAAAATCAAATCTCGTAGTTTAAATAATTAAATAAATTAGAAAATTTAAAAAAAAATGTTTACTTCTTTCATATTAACATACTGAAAAAATAAATTAATAAAACAAAAATAAAGCATTGTATGTTCAATGATTATTAGTTGCTATCAAATTGTTAAAACTCGCATTATTTTTAAATAAACAAGCTGTTGCTTATTTTGTAAAGGAAACATTTTCAATAAACATTTTTAGTGCACTTCTTGAATGAATTTCTTTGCTGAAAAACAAAAGAAGAACGAATGAAAAGTTTCTGTGTGAACAGTACTTAACAGTTTTTGTGAGGTCACCTATTAATTTAGATTTTGCAAGCAACTTATTTATTTTATTATAACAGCCCTGTCTCAATTGTCACCTCATTGCATTTTGTGTATGCAATGTTGACAAGCTGTTGTTAGTCAATTATAAATATAAAAAAATAATAGAAAGTATTTATCAAAATGAGTAAATCAGCTTTAGCAAGTCTAACTGCGCAATATACAGACTCTGAAAATGAAGATGACCAAGCTGACGATAGTGGTGATTCGCAAAATTCACAATCATCCCAGGTAAGATTTTAAAAATATTTATGTTTATTTGTCTCTAACCACAACCCTTTAATTTCTTTAAAGGTTATTATACCACAGCAAAACATTTCAGCACAGTTATTACAACCTAAACCAATATCTCCAGTTGAAATAAAAAAAAAGAAGCGCAACAAAAAAGTACGTCGCCTTGTTAGTTATCAAGATGATACAATAATATCTGATGAAGACGATGACTTAGAAACAGAAACATCTCAAAGTTCCGAATCTGAAGAAGAAAAAGAGAAGGGTGTTTCAACTGAGTCAAGTAGCACGAATGCCGAAGAATCCGAAGCACCAATGGAAGTTGATAATGATTTAGCTTCGGAGTCAATAAAGGACGTATCAAATTTAAGTAAAATTGATAAACATAGTAAATATGCACATTACAATTTTACATTGCCACCAGAACCAAAGGGTAAACCATCTGGTGAATTGGTTGAAAAAGTACGGCAATTGTACGAAAAAATGGACTCAAATAATATGGATATGAATCGTCTTATTCAAGGGCGAAAAGAATTTCGTAATCCAAGTATTTATGAAAAATTAATACAGTTTTGCGATATAAATGAGTTTGGGACAAATTATCCGCCAGAAATCTATAATCCTCATCAATGGGGACCAGAAAGTTTCTATGAAGAATTAGCGCGAGTTCAGAAAAATGAGATGCTAAAACGCCAAAAGGAACGCAAAGAAACAGATAAAATTGAGCAAGCAACTGTTTTAGCACGCAAAGTTGAAGAGGAAGCGAAAAAACGGTAATTGTCATAAATATTTTTGTATTAAATTATATGTACAAATAAATAAATGATTGTTTTTTGATTTGTTGTATATTTTTTAGAAAATCAAAATGGGATCAACCGGCAGCTGTTAAGCCCGCAATAGCACTAACTACGACTGTTACTGGTACTAAAGGAACAGTGATATCAGCATTTGGGTCTTTACCGAAGAAGCCAGCCGCTTAACTATTTTAAAGAAAATGAATTTATATATAATAATTTTTTATTTTTCACAATATACGTATGTTTGTACAATGCTTTGATGAAATATGTTATTTAAGAAATTTTGATTTTGAGTTGATATGATTAAGAAAAAAATTGTCTGTAACTTTTAATATTATTTAATATTTGTATTCTAGCAAATTATGATTTTGTTGTAACATAATCAAATGCGTGTAATTTGTAATTAATGAATTAATAAATAAAAATGAAAACTAATTGTTTTATAATTTTATTATGAAAAGTCACTGAACAACAATTTATTTACTAGATAATTATGTATGTAATTATGTAGGTTAACAATGTATTTTGTTGTTACGTTAACTGAAATTTAGCTGTTGTTTTCTGATTTGTTTTCTCACTTAACATTAGCAAGAAATGAAACCAAGCAAGGGGCTGACGTTTATTAAAAGATGGTTTAAGACGTGTTGGCACAAGTAACTCGGATACTATATAACAAAGAATATCTTTAAGGTATTCTTTGCTATATAATTTAAATAAAGTGTATAGATTCGTTTCCTCGCATAATGTTAAGAAAAAACAAGTGAAAGAAACATACGCTCTTAGAAAGATCGGTTAAGACAACTGGGATTTGTATAATTATACATCAGGATTTAGTATATTTTAAATAAAATAAATAAAACTATGCAATCTGCTTACGTTTATTAGAAAATAAATTAAGACAACTGTGGTTACCACAGTAGATAACCTAAATCGTGGTGCATAGTATTTTTAATGTAATATAAAAAATAAAGAAAGTGTATGTTATTTGAAAATTATTTTAAAAGCTTCACCAATAAAACTAAATTAAATTAAAAAATTTTATTTTATTTCTATACTATAAAATTATTTTATTACAGTTTAATGTTTATTTATGCTAAATACTGTTGATCCGCAAGTATGCCCAAATTCTAATAAATTTTAAAAATCTACTACTTTTTTCGTGTAGAGTAAAGGCAACACTGTGCTAACATCATGCTAATTGTTGTTCGTTTACTTCTTTTTTGGTCGGTGGAATTTTTGTCGTGTCGATGATGTGCTTTAATTTCTTTGGTTTTGCGTTTTTAATATTATTTCATTATTATAAGTAAAAAATATTATAAATAAATATAATTCGAACAATAGTATCAACGAAAAAAAAATTAATTTAACAAACTTATTAGAAGAATTATGCAAAAATTCATAAAAATTGCAAAGCGACGGCGAAGATGAATAAAAAACAAGAAAAAATTATTTAAGAAAACGAATATAAGTGAAACAGAATCTAAGATAAAAATAAAAAACAATTTAATTCTGCATCTTTTTTGGACTTAATATTAACTTTTTAATGTGTCTATATGCATGTGTGCGTTGTATTATTAAATTTTAAAAGCAACTCAAATAAAAAAATATGAATAAAGTCAGGACTACAAAATATCATTAAAAGTAGCACGATCAAAGCTGCCCGGTGTGCATAATAAATAAAATTACTAAAGGAATTTCATAAGTTTGATACGCAAATCCGAAGTGAATATGTACTGCGAAAAACACAAGGTAATAAAACAAAAATTTTATAATTTTAACTCTTACACAATTGCACTTAGCTTCATTGTATTAAATTGTTTATATTATATAAAAGATAAACAAAATCGAATAATTTTTATATTTAACACCGGAGATTATTGTTATCATATTCGAACATAAAGTGAAGCAATGACGTAGGCCTTTTATATTAAAAGTTGTGTCCATATAAGAATAGTATATAATCCATATACATATATGTGCTATAATTTTCTTATTATATAATTATTATTGATATATTTTTATCTAGTGTTGTATATATAAATGTATAAATATCTAAATAGTATCTTATGGTGTAATATTTAATATAAATCAAATTTAGTAATCAAAAATATGTGCGTACAATTAATATATCGATAAAGATAAGTCGCCTGTTGTATAGATAATACAATAGGTAGTACACTTATACTTGCAGAGTGAAACACCATTAATAGAATTAAATATTTTTTAATACTATCTCTAAAAAGTTTTAGGGATTTAACAATAATCACTATATCGGCATTAAAAGTTATAATAAAAATAGATTATTATTATATATTACTGGTATAATGGTATAGCATTAATGGTTTAACGATCCTAGTTGATCCCTGAGCTTCTTATTATATCTCACGTTCAATTAAAGTTCAATTAAACATTTATAGTATAACGATCCTAGTTGATTCCTGGGGTCCCTATTATATCTCACGTTCAATTAAAGTTGAACATTACGTTAGGTTCACCTGTTGTACTACAGAAGTCTATTTTTCTATTGGAAATCCTTATATAACAATGATGTGGACGTTTTAATCCAGTCCACAACAGACTCTTATACAATAGTTTAGAGCGCTAAGGAAGTAAATACTTAACCAAGTTTTAGCTATTTGAGATAATAACAAATTAACATCGTTCAATAGTTAGTTTTTAACTTCAAACTTTTCTATTTAAATATAGGTCAATTTGCTTCGTCAAATTGATCAAGTAAATATATATATACTTTACGTTGCTTTCGATGTTCCTTCTTTTGTTAAACACATAATGATAAGCTCAATACAGCAAAATATATATTTATCTGCTCAGAAGTTCACATTTGTAATTACAATATGTGTATAGAAATTATCTTTCTTTTATATACATTTGTATTTCGAAAGATATGACAAATATTTTGTTTTCAACATTGAATATATTTATGCAGACGTACCCTATAGAAAACTGAAAAACATGTTTGGTGCTACAGTTGTTTTCCGCATTATTTAATGTTGTTAAAGTGATATTTATGCCGAATGGATGGTAGCTCCATCCATTTAAACTGTAGTTTAAAGTAAAAAGAATAAAGGGACTCCGTCCAGCTTTCGTAAGAAGTCGTTTATTCACTTTATGGTCTCTGTTCTATATAGGAATTACAATAAATACAAAGTCTCATTCATAAATATTCTCAAAAAATATTTTAATCTGAAGTAAGTCCCTTAAAACAGCTACACATAATAACCTAAATCAAGTAAACCTTCTTATAGAATGACTGTTACAGATGTCTACTATTTGTTGTTGTTGTATTAGCCCGTGAAGTTCTGCTGGTATTATAGTCCCTTTTGGGTACGGTGAGTGGAACTTAATCGTCAACACTGACGAGTGACTCCACGATGTAGACCCGGTCGCTTCTGGAGATCATATCTACTATCTAGTAGAGTTTGGGTTATTTTAATATATATATTTAAATAAAAATGAGCGCTAACTACATACTTTAGTGAAGTGTAAGGGTTTTTGATATGAACTTAATATATTAGGATAATCTTGAATGTGACATTTTCGATGTTCGATTTAAATGAAGTTGTAGTGGTGATCTTGTGACCAAAATCTATTGAAGATTAAATAATGAACCGTTGTGATAAATATTTAACATAATTACTTGAGTAAATATTAGGTAGTTTTTTCTTTACTCGAATCAAATCAATTATTATATAGGAAGTTATTCAACAAACAAAAGTTTTGCTAATATACTCCGATGTTTAATTCTTTTCCTTAATTGTACTGATCTGTTGTACTAGTTAGGCCCATGTTATGTAGAGTGTCACGGGAACTTCAAAATCAAAATTGTTGTTGCTTTTAATGCAAATCAAAAAATTGAGGGTTAGAGATGAAAACAAATGTCGGTTTAAATTCGGTCATGAAAGCCGAGCCTATCTGTGCTTCGTCACTCAGTCAAAGACGTGTTGTATGTATGTATATATATATTTCCTTTAAGATTTCGGCACAAACAAAATGTAAAAAAATAATAGTAAAAATACAAAATTGATAAGCTGATGTGACACTCTGCATAACATGCGTTTTCATCATAGCACGAAACAGCCAATTTTAACGCGCCCGTAATACCCAATATAACATGGGCCTCAATAGACTTGTAAGGTTCTATTAAAATTTTAGAAATGTTTTTTATTTTATTATTTAAACTATTTTAGTTACAGTACAGTTCACTATACTCGTCACACACTTTTGAAGATAAATATTTTTTGTACTGTATACTGTATACTATATTGGCCTTACTTCTGATAAATCTACTCCAAACAACGTACTTATTATAAATTTGGCAAACGATGAATGGAAATAATGGAAATAATGGAAATTCGTGTTTTGAAAAAATTTATCTAAATTTGTCATATAAATAATATAAATTATGCTTACTGTATCTTATGATAGCGTACATATAAACATTTCCAAACCGCGCAATTGAGGTATATTCAGTCTAAAATTTGTGTGCGTCTCAAATTGAGTGCAATTTGCTCTGATAAAAGCTTTAATAATTGCATCAATTTTTAGCGGATGTAAATAGTTGATAGTTGATTTAGATATTTTTTGTTTTTAGTATTACAAGCACTGATTTCATTGAATCTCTTGCAAATCGTTTGCTATAATAAATTTAATATAAACTTAAAATGCGTTTCATTTATTATTATTATTATTAATAATATAATGTATACAATTGTTTTTTGCAGATTTAACATCAATTCAATTTTAATTACATATATTATAATAAGTGTTCGCGTGTGAAGTGTTTTTTATAATTTTTATTAGAAATAATTTTAACCGCATTTCTTAACTTTATCTGCTCATCTCGCCGCGCTCAATATTACTACGGATCGTTTTTGGATCCTTTGTCTAATTTATTTCTGCGATTATTATCAAATAATTAATTGTAGTTTGTTTAATACATAAAAAAAATAAAATTTTTAATAACAGTTTTTGTGTAAATTGTTAATGCATTATTATATCAATTGAAAAATTGTATCACTTTATTGCATGAAGAAACAATTTTAAATTTAATTTCAAAATTACTTTTAAGATTTAAATTGAATCAATTATAATAAACAACAAAGCATAACTTTCTGGACGATTGAAGAAATTTGCTCAAATAAGTCTTCTAAATATGGCGGATTCGTATTATCAGGTATGTTCATAGTTAAATAAGCTGGTACTGTAAATGGTTTAAAGATAATTTATTTAATTAACTTTTAACAGAATAAGTAAATGTTGTTCTGATACTAACTTACTCTAAATAAAATATTATATTTAAGAT